CCAAAAAAAAGAATTCTACGAGGTAAAGTAGTAAAATGGATAAATTTGGGAGTTTGACATTTACAAATGTTAGCCACTATATATAAAAATAGATTTTAAAAAGTTTCTTCTGTACAGCACAGGGAACTATGTTCAATATCTTGTAATAACCTTTAATGAGAAAGAATATGAAAACGAATATATGTATGTATATGCATGACCGGGACATTGTGCTGAACACCAGAAACTGACACACTGTTAACGGGCTACACTTCTTTTTAAAAAAATGTTTTAAAGAATATAAAAGAAAAGTAGTCAAATGTTAAGGGCAGAGCTTTGGCTTTGGCTTCCAGTGGACCCAGGTTAGACTCTTAACATGCACCAGCTCGGCAAGTCATTAGACAAGTACAGGCTTCAATTTTGCTTTTTCCATCTGTAAAAAGAGGGTGTGAAATGTCATCTTATAGAACTGATGGAGAGGCTCTGAAAACTACTATGGCGAAGGTCTGAGCACAGGGTCTGCAGGCAGCACGCACTCAGTGAACACTGGTTATTATTCCCTCGCAGCTTCTTCAGACCACTGTCCGCGTGGGTTGAAACCGTGATCTTTACGCCCCAGAGGCTCAGCTGTGCTAAGCCCAAGCCTCGATACCTCCAGCAGATCTATTCAAGGGCCAGGGGACCACTGGGACCCCGGGATCTCCACAGGAACTTCTGAAGCACCCCCTGCGAGAGCACAAGATCAAACCAAAACAGAGTCTGCTCTGGGCTGTAACTAAAACCAACTGAGCAAAATTCAAATACAGCTCATAGAAGAGACGCTGACTGTGGGTCCTCGGCATCTCTGAGCATATTGAGCACGTGGTGTCCTCTTTCCTAAGAGACCGCAGGTGGCCCCGGGTCACTTCTACCTCTAGTCTGGCTTCAGCTTTTCCCTTCATTGCAAGGTACACACGCTAGTGAACACCCCATGGGAACCTGCAGGGCCCCGATTCACTGCAGCCAGAGCCCGTGAGACCCTGCTCTGCACCCAAGTTGTCCTTCCCACCCCTCTCCAGCGTCCAGGCCTGACCTGCCGTCTGCCTGTCCTCCTCCCTCTCCGGCTAGAAAATCCCCTTGTTCAGGAGGAGGTCAGCACCCACACTGTGTCCACCCAGGCCTGACGGCCGTGGATGCTCTGCCTCCAGGCTGCCCTCTTCCTCATGAGGCAGTTGCTTTCCTGGGGTTTTTTCTTTTCTGCTTGGGTTTTTTGTTTGTTTTATTATTTAAAGGGACAACACTCTTTCCTCTCCACCAGATGCTAACAAACTAATAAAAAACACATTCAAATGGTCAAGTAGCTTTACTGATCATTGCCTCTGACCAATTGGTAACCACAAGTCTTATGCTTTGGGACTCTTCAGACTTCTTCCAAAATGATTTCCTTTACATCCTACGAAAAGAATTCAACTGGTATTAGCACTAAGTATAGAAGACTGGAAGCTAGCAGAGGGGAAATGAGCAGTGGTAACTGTACTTAACTCCTCTGGAAGGAGAGGATGTTTGTAAGATCCTGCCATTCTCCACTTTTCCCCCTAAGTGTGATGTCAATGTCTGGTCTTGCATTCCCACTTATTTTTGCCTACATTTGTGTCCCTTCTGGTTTGGACCCATGCCTCTCCATCTGGGGCTGATCTACATGCCATGGAGAGAAGAAGGGGGGGACAGTACTAAGTGTCATTTCAGGGTACACCTCAAACCAGCAGGTAACCAGGATATGTTTCCTTCCCAGACTGTCAATGTTACCTGAATATATGGTAGAAAATATGATTTTCTGTTGAAACAAACATGAATCTACAATGAGGCAGAAGTCAAAATTCAAAAGGACTTTTCAGATAGACTAATAGCTATTAACAAATTGTTAAATTATAGCACCCCCCTATCCCCAAGGTACATATTCACCTCTGTCTTTAGGGGATGGTCTGGGGGGAAAATTTATTAAGTAGAATCTGTTTAGTGGAGTAAACAGGTCTATTCAAGCAAATTTTTAATTTAAGCTACAAAGTTGATTGGTTTGGTTTTGTTTTCAACAACAGTGCCTAAGGACATAATTCATGTGAATGTTGAGAAAATCATTAATCATTTCTCCCTTTTGTTCTCATACTCACTGTTGCCAAACTGAAAGTGTTTATATTAAGCCTTCATATGTTCAGTTCTGATTGAGGTGTGTTACTTTTGTGATAAGTATTACATAGCATCATTTGTGAACTGCCTGTAAAGTAATGATTGAGGTAAGAAAAAGCATAATTTAATTTCCAATTAGACTAGAATTTGTTCACAGAGGAGCTGAAGAAAGCAGTGCTGCCCTTGAAGGAGAATAATATTCAAAACCTGCCACAGTGAGGACAGCACACTGAGGTGGTGGAGAAGGTGCAGGCCCGGAACCAGAAGATGGACAGAATGAGGACACACTCACAGTAAAAAGAAGGGAGAGAACTAACACGTATTGGTACCTGCCATCCCAGGTGTCTTCCTCTGTGTTGTTATGTTTAATCCTTAAAATGCCTTAGAAAAGTATGCTCTGTCCATGCAAGAAAATGAGGCTCAAAAAGGGATGGCAGAGCTGGACTGTGAACTTGAGACCACATGTCAGAAGTCCGTGGTGGCGGGGTCTGCACACTCCGTGGAGCAGAGGTCACCTGTGATCGCTGAACTGACGTGTACAGCCCTGTAACCAGCTCGTCTAAGCCCAGTGGCGTCCTGCTCTGATCCTGCGTAGCCCTAGCTGTACAGACCCTTCACTGGGTGTTTACTGTCGTCCATCCTTGTCTAACGATCTTTCCCAGAGCAGCTTGTGAACTCCGGCAAGTCGGGGACCATAGCTTCCATTTCTTTCTTTTTCCTGTGGAGTCTTGAATAATATTTGCTTGGCAGATGTTGGCTGAATGACTGATTGCTGTTTTACACCCAAGATTCGAGGGTGAAAAACTACGTGCCTAGGCAGACTCTTACTTATTTACAACTCAAACCCTCGCTTTTAGCCCACAAGTCAAGTGAATTAAAGGTGTGCTCCAGCATTGCTCCCTTCCAGGTGTTTCTCATATTGTTTTAAATAACAGGATAAAACCAAGGCCAGTAACATGGTCTTTATGTGAGGATTTCCAGCTGGTTTATGCTCGTAAGTGCCAGTCTCTCTACTTATGAGGACTGTGAATTATCTAGCAAGGCAATGAGGCAAACTGGCAAAAATGTTAAGCGACTTTTTCCATATCAGATCAGTGTCTTACAACCTTGTCGTGTAAACATGATGTCACAAGGCCACCTCCTTAGTGAGGCCTTCACTGACCGCCCCAAATGGCTGGCTCTGCCAGCTGGTGCCTCACAGCACCCTCCCTCTTGCTATGACGGCACTTAACATGTATGAATTTAATTTATGCACATTGATTCCATACTCAAAAGAGCCATATGATACCATGACTGTCATCCAGAGAGTGCAGATAAGGAAACTGAGAAACCCAGAGGCCAAGTAAGTCTCCAGAGATCGGTTACAACCAGAAGCCGCAGGGGCAGCACGGACACCTGGTCCTCCAACCCCTGCGTTCTCCCACCTAACGTGCCCCACCTGCCCCACCCGCCTGCCGACTCCCAGCTGCATTTTCCTCACCGCGTCCTCAGGGCCCTACTGGAAAGAGACACCACGCTTAGCTGAGATTTTTACCAGAATTGAATGCAGGGATTGTTGAATGAACTGTGAGTCAGGTTTCAGACCAGTAAGGAAGGAACTGGGGTTGAGGGGGACAGGCACCCGCAGGAGCCAAGAGAGGAAATGGGGTTTCAGGGCCCTGGGAGAGGGAGGGAGGGAAGGGGGCGCAAAGGTCTGGAAGCTCAGGAGGCTGGGCCATAGGACCGCAGGAGCAGCCAGAAGGGCCTGGGTAGGAAAGGCCCAGGCCTCTCTTCTCCCAGAGAGCCAGGCCAACCATGACTCTAAAAGGAATTTTTATCTAGAAAGCAAGATTTTGCTCTCACAACTTGTTAACATTAAGAGGTTCCACCACTTTAATTAGGTTTTTATTACCTACGTCACTCGCATCTCCCCCCTGGATCCCAAACTCGGAAGGAGCGGTTGCGAATCCGCGCACACCTGGCGATGAAACCAGCCGGCTTCAAGGGCGTGACCTTGCAGAGGCAGCTCCACCTGAGGAGCCTGGCGACGTATTTGACTCTTCTGTGTTAACAGACTGTCGTCCCTGGATTCCTCACCGTACAGACCAGAAAAAAACCCAAACCAAACCCAATACAGCTCTTCCTTTGGGTAAAACAGGCGCTCTGAGAGCGCAGAACACACCGCACCTACTTCTGACACTCCCCCACCTCCCCCCGGGCTCATCCGTTAGATAATTATAGCTGTCAAGTATGCGAACAATTAATTCCTGATTAGGAAGCGGAGACACCTGGAAAGTACACGGGACCCCCTAGAAGGCGTCCTCTGCCCCTGTGCGGTTAGCATTCAGCTTGTTTTCCCGAAATCACTTCCAGATTTTGCATTAAACGAATTCCTCATCGCAGGGGTGCCTCTGTGCACCCTGCGAACGACCAAAAGCGTAGGTTTTCCATAGGCTTTAACTCTGAGTACGTCTCAGTAACCAGAAAGGCTAACCGTCCGGGATGAGCACATCATAAAGTGGGTTCAGTGGCCCAGAGACCCCCCCCCAGGGCCAGCCAGGGCCTCGAAGGCTGCCGCTGTGAACGCTCGCCCTGGTGAGGGACGGTCACCGCAGCACAAAGCAGCGCGCCTGCTCGGACAGGTGTCCCCGCGCACGGCCTGCCCGGGCCGCCAGGTGAGCCTCGTGGAGGGGAGAGCGCGCGTGTGCCCCAGAGGCTGAAGCTGCAAACGCCTGAGAGCCCACAGATGCCCCCTAGCTCCCTGGCACCCCGGGTTCTCCACAGCACACCCCTGGGGAAAAGTACTGAGCCCCGAAGACGGCGCCTGTGACTCACCCAGCAGCGAGCGCCGCGCCGGCCTCCCCACTTCACCCGCTCACCTCGCGCTTTCCCGACGCCGGTTCTCAGCCCCGCTGTCCTCCCTCTGTCCCTCGCAGGTCACGGGTTCGGGTCCTCGAAGATGTCCCGGGCGCAGACGTTCCCCAGCTACGCGGCGGAGCCGGGCGAGGAGGCGCCGCAGCCGCTGTCCCGCTCCGGCAGCTACGGCTTCAGCTACAGCTCCAGCCTCATCCAGTGACCGCGAGAGCACGCCGGCGGCCAGAGAGACAGCCTGCCCCGCCCTGCCCGCGGGCCCACCGCGCCCCCTGCCTCCCGGAAGACCAACTGCAGTACGAACTGAACCGGGTCGGGCCTGGCCCCAGGCCCGGGGAAGGTTAGAGACTGGAGTTCCGTCCGCTTCCTTGATTCCGTGGCTAAGTCCTTTATTTATTGAGTTTCTTGTTGGGGGGGGGCGTCTATGTCGTACAAATAGAATCCAAATCGTCTGAACAGATATTTAAACAAAATTCTTTGGGTCTGGGGCACGGTGAGACGTTGCCCCCACCGGATGGTACCTGGGTGGTGGGCATCACCCTTGTCCTGATGGCTCAGTCCTCCCACCTGATGAGAGGTCTGTCCTTAGATGTAAAGATGACCCACCGCAAGCTGTGTGGCTTGGAGGGTTTCGACAGAGACAAATCCAGTAAGCTCTACAAACGGCATCATACTTCTCGATATAAATAAGCCCAGTGACAATTAAGGAAACACGAAATTTAGGACACGCTATTAAGCGGGGCCTTGTTGCTCTACTCTGTGTGTGTGTGTGTGTGCGCGCGCGCGTGCGTGTGTGAGTGTGCACGTGTGTAGACCAGAATAGACATGGATATTGCTGTATCCATGTATATCTAACCAGTATCTATCAAATGTGTGCTGAGAGTGACAGGATATGCTCACTTACATTGTGGAAAACTGTAACTTGGTGCATTAAAATTAAGATTGTTATGTTGAATAGCTATTTTTTAAATAGTGCTGTTAAAAAGAAAAAAAGAGGCTTCTTATTAGCCAAGTATTTATGTAGTCATGTCTGCTCCTACGACAAGTGTAAGTGAAAAATGTGAGAAGTGGGGACACTTTGGAAGCGAAAGAGCCGGTCTGGCCATCCTACTGGCCCTGACCCTGCACTGTCCCTCTGCTTGTTACCCCCTTGTTGTCCACAACTTTCCTCCCTTTGGCCTCTCTGAGCTACGCGGGGAAGACTGGTTGTGATCCCAGATCGACTTCCACTTAACCTCGAGGACAAGGACTCTAAGTAACAATCTGTTTAAGAAGGGAGAGAAAAATACACTTAAAAAGAACTCAGCCATTTTGCCGTCAGAAGAATGACAGGGACAGGACTGCAGAAATCACTTAAATCATCATAGATGCTGTTGTGAGAGAGCCGTCAGGGGCTTATAATTTGCTATGTAGCCAGAATTTGCTGATCTTTAGTTTCCTTTTACTGGATAGGAGTTGGCTGGAATTATCAGAGAAAATGGATACAAAAAAAAAAAAAACCCCAAAAAATCCAACTTTTTTTCATTCTGAGACTAATGACAAACCTACAAGGTTTAAAGGGAAGTGGTGATTTCCATGTGAACTGAGGAAGTTTGGCTAATTCGGGTCAACATAGATATTTTTGCTTTTAGTTTTGGAGTTCACTCAAGTAAACATAAAAATCACTCTGCCTGAATTACAGGATGCCATATGCCTAAGATGGTCAGCTCACGAATACTCCAAGGTGGGTTTAAAGGACAGTGAGCCCAGGTCATGTAAGATGCCAACCTGAATTTTTTCCAATATCAACATTTTTTAAGTTTTCAAAGTTAGTCTGTTGAAAGGGTACCTATTTCACTGATCTGTGATAAGACAATTTTTTTAATCCATATCCTCAGCTTGAATACAGATTGACAATTCATTTTCAAGAGTTACTACTGAATAAAAATGGTATGAGGTCCCTCCTTGATAAATCTGCCCTTAGAGCAACTACCTGGACTCTCCACATCTCTCAGATAAGTATGAAAACCCCATCAAAATGCTCATCATATGAGTTAATGTGGCTGTGAAAATGTAATCATCCTAAGCTTCCAGGGATAAAGAGAAAATTACTCAAATGCTCCGCACTGTGAATTTTGCTGACACAGCAGAAGAGCAGATGACTGGCTCCTGACAATGATACAGCCGTCCCTGAAGTCCCGGCTTTCAGGGTTAAGCACCTCTGAATTACTTTAGCACATGGCATTTGCTTTTGAAATGCCATTAGTAAAATACACCAGTGCAACTCCCAGCTGAGACCATTGGAGCACAGCTCCTAGTGGTGCCACATTCACCGCGCACCCCTCACCGGCTCACTCAGTCGAGCTGTCGCTTAGAGACCACAAGTTCCACAAGGGACTCAGGGGGACAGCCCCTCAGGGGTCCTGCTTTATGTCTCAGCTTTATTATTAACGTGCTGGAAGCACAGACCGCGAGTCCTGGGGGATTCTGCTAATGAGATGAGTCTGCTCTTGTGTCTCATTTGCAAGACAGGATACCTGCACGAAGCAGTTTCAAAAACACCATCTGCCTGTGAGCATTACCAATGAGTATCAACGAGGGGGTCCTAAAGATCAGGCATAACCTTGAGCCAGTTCATTCAGAAAATAACATCATAAAGAGTCAGTGAGAGAGAACTCTCCTTCCCACATTTTTAAGCCAAACTCATCACGATGAGAATAATGCTATAAAAGATCTCCTGGTACCTTTCTGGAGATTTACTCTAGCACACTCCTCCAACTATACTTAAAATTGTAGCGTAGTCAAAATTGCTAAATGAACAAAGAGGAGAATTTATAATAACGTATATATTTGATGCAAGGCAGTGCCCATTGTAATAAAAATTACATAAATAGTCTACAAAAACCAAAGAGGAGAAGTTACTGAGCCAGTCTCCTGGAACTTTATAACATCAATTCCATAGTAACTAGAGTGGTCCTAGGCTTGTCTTCAACTCACTGGAGCTTGTAGGTTTTTGACTGAAGGTGCCTCTACCCTTTTTGCAGGCATTTTTCTCCCTTCAGAAATCCTGTTCCTCTTTACCATACATGTGACTTTCTCATTGTGAGGGAGTGACTGCTATGAACCAAAGACACCTTTTGGCTCCTTCTGAAACTGACTTGGTTGACTTTCCATCCAGATTCAGACAGGTGAATGAAGGTGGTCACAGTTTCCATATCAGGTTGGAAGAAAGCAATGGTCAAAGTACCGGACATAAGTTATAAAGGCTCTTCTGAGAGCAGAGAAAGCCTGGAGGATGTACACATTCCATGGAAATCCCTGCAGGGATTTATTTTTTTATGTCCCCCATTTTTTCTTTGGATAATATTCATTGTTGTACACACGACCAACACACGACATTACATTTATGCAGAAAAGTACAAAATAACTTTGACCCTATGGCTCACTATTCTGGTGGGGGGGAAACACTTCTTTCACTTATTCATTGAACGAATAACAGGCACTCAGAACTAATTTATTTATACAGGTTGCAAGTATTTACGGATCAATAGGTTTTGGCCACTGCCACTATTTGGACTTTATGAAATAAGAAAAATATATTTACTAATACATTGGGGAAGATGCTGTTTGATAGAGCATGTGAAATAAAGGGAAACACATTTATTAAAAGTAATCCTCACCTTTTCCACCAAGTAGTAACTAGAGTAGAAGTCCTGGTATCTTGTGCAATTTTTCTCTGTCTTCATTGGGCAAATATGTTTGAAAATCACTTACCGCTTACACTTTCTATCCAATAAGGAAGCAGTGGAGTGATAATTCACACTGTCAGTAGTTTCCACAAAGCCAGTTTACTGCATATGGGATCTTTATAGTCGATATTAAAAACACCATAAAAAATTGATGTCTGCCCCTCATTCTTTGGCCAGTATCTCAGAAAACTTTGTAAAAAAAAAAGCATGAGTACCCTGCTCCCTAGATTATTTGAGCCACTTATTAAAACTGACCATTAATGCTACAGTGAAAACATGCTAAGCAAATTATATTCTTATAAAAAAATTATAGTCCAGATTTGATTATTATGATACAGCACAAAAAAAAAATCGGCAGGATATATTCAGTGGGGCTGAGCTTCAGGCCTTTAACGCTTCATGTTTTATAACAAACCTTATATAAAAACTGCTTAAAGTGAAAATTGTACATTTTCTTCACATCTATCCAAATCTATCACGTCTGTCAATATCTTGCAATTTCAAATTACTTGATCAGTCACTAACTATATTTTACAATCCTCTGACCTTGGCCTTCTCAAAATAGATAAAAATTTGCCACTAGACCTGTTTAATAATTATAATAATAGGTGATACGCCACACAAATGAACTTCTAGCCTGAGGAATTTATGGAGTGTGGTTTCCCACGGAGCGGGTAGAGCCGGAGGACAGGAACTAGTCAGGAGGGCAATGTTTTAGATAAAATTACAAAGGCTCCAATGAC